AGGAGCCCCAACAACCTCTCTTCAATACCCAAAGACTGCATTTGTTGCCCCCCTCCTAGACCTATTTGGACCCCTTTGCGACTGCTGCGGCTGTCCTCTCGCAGCCTTGGTTTGAACCTACAAGATTGTGTTCTCCAAGTCAGCTACGACACCCACATGGGTTACCAAAAGAGAGCATCCTGCATGGACAAGTAGCAGACGATCTTGTTCCCCAGTGCCTCGCCCATGTTCAGAGAAGGGTACTTGAACGGCAATGACAAAGGTAGGAAAGAATGGGTCATTCAGGCTGGAGTTACCTTAACATCCCATTCTTCCCTCTCCCTTCCTCATTCATGCCTGCTTCTTTACTAGGAATTGCTTGGAGATGCTAATGTCAGGCGAGAGGAAGAGAGACGCCACGCTTTCATATCCCTTTCTCTAAGAATCTGGAAAGGGAAAGCATGAGAGAGTGAAAGATTTCCTTCAGCGCCAATAGGAAGCGGGTTCTTGTCTGAGTTGTCTGAACCCCTGAAACACCACCAACCACCAAAAAGAAACTCAACTTTTGAGACTCACACCAAATGCTTTTTCTCTTATCAATACGTGACAAGCAGCCTCAAAATGGGGTTGTCCTTTAAGCAATCAGCTGCAATTTTAGCTCAAGGGCCTTTTCTCTGCAGGTGCCCCTGGTAACAGGGCTCAATTGCGCTAGCGGAGCAGGTTTTTCCAACAAGAACCCTCAAAGCGTCATGGAAGTTTACACCAGCGCAGGCCGACTTGTCGGCAGCACTGAAGAGACACGAAACCCAGCCGCCGTCATCCGACGGAAAAGTCAGCTGGCTTCGATATGAGGAACTTATTTCCACAGTAGAGAGTGATCTCTGGGGACCTCTCCTCAAGAGCCGGTTGAAGACGCACTCATGTACAAGTTGCTCGACAACAACCTACTACGAGCCAGCAGAAGGAGTCAACTACTTCAAGAATACACTGAAGAAGTTCTTCGCGAAAGGCACGACCAACGCGCACCTTTATCGACTCCTACAATGTCGGTTGCGAACTCGAGTACTTCCTTCGCCCAAAATCAATCTACGACCTCTTCGAGAAGGTTCGCACTGAATGTGAAGTTTACCAAGCAGCCAAGCAAGCACCATCAAGAAGTCGACCGATCGGCGATATGATTTTCGTTGATAACTGTCAAGTTCCCCTCGGAACTGGAGAGCGCATCACCCTTTCTGTCATTTTGGATGGAGCAACAACATTGCTCACTGCGGAGGCGGTGAACACAGCACAAGAACTGGAGAACACCACCGTTATCAGGATCTATGTACCACTTGAAGCAGATCGGGCAAACAAGACGGACACATGAGAACATTTCTATCGCAGGGGCAGACAGTGACTGGCAAGCCCTCTCATGGTGTTGCAAGAGTGAGTCAAAGAAAGTCAACAACCAGCACGTGAAGGAACTGAAGAATTACAACAAGCATAACTGCAACAAGGCCGACTACTACAGGCCTCCGGCCCTTCCAGATGGAAATGCTTTAGCAAGAATTGGCGCGAAGGATATTCCTCGGAGAGTAGTTGCAGCAAGAACGACTAGCATCATCAGCGCCGGCACTGAAGTGCACCAACCATGATCAGCTTTCTCAAGCTATGAGCAGTCCAGTTGCAACCGATGGCACAGGCGGTATGGCCGACCAATCGACATCCTCACGAGATTCTTCATTCATCGTCTACAACACTCTTCCAATTGCGATACCAACTTCATTGTCCACAAGGATATCTTTTCCCGAAGTGAGTGAGTCGACAATTTCACAGAAGGACACATCAGCCTGCATCTTCGCACCCACAATCCTTGAACACAATCAGATGTCAACTTTGGCAGTCATTTCTCATGTCCAGAGTTTGTACACAACCTTGTAGGTGCCAGGCAATCCGACATGTCAGAGTCACAATTTTGAGTGACCTTTTTGATATGTTCGAAATCATTCTGATTAAGTATTTCTCAATGGCTACCGCATATATGAAATATGGCTACGGCATGTGTGTCTGTTTTGTTCTCAGACCATTGACCTTTAGGCAATCAGCTGTATCACGTATACATTTTGTCTCAAGGCCCCTTTTTCTACCAACAGAGTTCATACTCGCCATAGAAAAAGACCTGGCTGCGCTCGCTCTCAGCAGTTCTTCACACGGCTTCCCTGAACGAAATAACGCCCAGATGTGCCTAGTCAAACTCCTTGTGTGCGCCACGGTCCTCCAGTGCTTGTCTGATTTCCCACAAGGGGTCAATGACCATCCAAGACCCCCAAGAAGAATCTTTAGACCATAAAATGCGTAGACCCCTTCTCCTTCGGCTTCCGAAACCGGACCGGACCTGAATGTCGCCCGTCACGTTGGTGCCGCGGAGATGCATCTCTTTCAGCAGCTTCAGTCTCTTCAGGTCTCCGATGTCCCCACTCACTTGCGGATGGTCCAGTTGCAGTCTCTCGAATTTGGCAAGCCCATTCCTGGGTCGAGTCTTTTTGGAGAACCCCCCTTCGTGAGGTTCCAAAACCGACGTTTACAAGGGTGCCTTATGGGTCCAAGGGAAACGATCCCAGCTTCTGTCTGAGGTAGTCTTGCGCAGAACGGGCTTGGACCCGGGATTGGCATGCTGAGGTGCAGATTGCGTGGCAGGTGCAGCACATTGTTGGGGTTGGGCGCCTGAAATGTAGATTTCGTGGCAGGTGCAGCGCTTTCGCAAGATCATGCGCAGGCTTCATGGCACATGCAGCACAATCAGGAGATACAACAGTAGGTTGATGGATAGGCAGAGGGACAAATAGATAAACAGGTCGGCAAAGAGATAGACGTATGGCTGGATGGCAGATAGCTACAGAGTGAGTGAGGTTAGATACATGAAAAGATAGGTGAGTGGGTGGAAGCTAAAAGATATATAGAGAGGGGCTGGAAAGGATAGAGCTATAGACGGATAGATAAATAGATCTAAAAAACTAAGACAGATAGATCCCTATATAAGTAGAGAAAGGTAAATAGATATGTAGACAAATACAAAGACAAGCATGTAGATAGATAGATAGACTGCTTGATAAATCAGAGGCAGGTAGGTGGGTAGATAGGTACGACGGATGGATGGAGTGATGAAAGGATGCCCTTGGGCATAGATAGATAAGCCCGACGCGCGCTATTCTGACGAGGATCCAGGAATTCAGCACTGGCAGGTGGGGTTTAGGAGCCAGACATTGCCAGCTCTTCAGGCAAGGCGCCAGTTGCAACTGCCCACGCTTGGGCAATCTGCATGAGCCACGAAGGGCTTGGGACATGATTTCCTCGCCATGCCCCCACTGTCTAAAGTCGCTAAGGTAAAGAAAGCCCTGAACTTGAAAAGATGGGCATTCTGAGATGCGTGCGGTTGCAGAGCGCGGAGACAGCTTCCCAGTGGCTGCATGTGCCTGCACGCGTGCCGCTTCAGACTTCAGACGACCGCCGTTGCTGCATCACTTTGCGCCCTCATGCCGCTTGAGAGAGAAAGAGAGGGGAAAAAAACAGGTGCGCTGACAACGAGGGTTGGGCACGGGCTTGTGACCAAAAACAGGCATGCCTTGCGCACAAGGGCAATGAGAAAAGGAGAAATGGCAAAATTGGGAAGGAGAAAGAGAAAGAAAAGACAAAGAATGATGAAAAAGACAGACAGAGAAAGAGAAGAGAAAGAGGCGAGAAACCTAAGAGGAGCGAGAAGAAGAGCAAGTGAATGAAAGAGAAAAACAGAAGGAGACAGAGAGAGAAGAAAGAGACACAGCAAGAGAAAGAGAAAGCGATAGAGATGGAGAAAAACACAGAAAAGAGAGTGAGAAAAAGAAAAAGACAAGAAAAATGGAAAGAGAAAGAGCAAGGGAAAGAGACAAAGGACAATAATCATATGTTCTTTCATATGGGTGAAACTTCCGCCCATCAGCTTCGCCGGCTCTGGTACGCTCGATCTGCGAAATCATCGGCGTATGGATCCCAATTTTGGAGATAACTTACTTTGGGCTTCATGATCTGTGGAAGGGTATGTCGTACGGTTGCCATGTGCCAAAACCCCCAAAACTGGCGTATTTCTGTTGGTGGTTGGGGTGCTATTGTTTTTGCCAGCCCCGATTTTCATTAGCCCCGGTTCAACATGAGGCCCCCCCTGTATTCGCTGGGAGCGGGCCAGGGGGCGGGGCGGGGAGGGCCGGGGCGGGCCAGGGCGGGCCGGGGCGGGCCGGGGCGGGCCGGGGCGGGCCGGGGCGGGCCGAGGCGGGCCGAGGCGGGCCGGGGCTGTTTGCGTGTTTGCGTTTGTGTTTTGGCTGTGTGTGTGTGTGTCTCTGTGTCTCCGTACCTCCGTGTCTGCCTGTCTCTGTCCCCCTCTGCGTCGTTCCGTCTATCTGCCTCTCTGTCTGTGCTTGTCTGGGTCAGCCTGTCTCTCTCTCCCTCTCTGTCTGTGACAACTGCGTTTCACGCGTGTTTGTAATGGCATACAAAGACAGCTTACATGCAGGGTAGTGACCGGCACCTAGATTCCTAGATGTCTACTCGAGTTTTAATAACATCTCTCTGCTGATGGGTGGCCAAGTCAAGGGGATGCGGCTGCGCAACTAACACCAACCAACCAACCAACCAACCAACCAACCAACCAACCAGCCAGCCAGCCAGCCAGCCAGCCAGCCAGCCAACCAGCCAACCAACCAACCAACCAACCAACCAACCAACCAGCCCACAAGCAACAAACCAACTGCGGCTAAGCCCCAACCGCCAACCGGGCCAGTGAAAAAGACACCAGTTCCCATTTTTGCTCTTCCAACAAAACCACCCAAGAGGAGAAAGTCCCCATTTCAATTGATATGGGTGGCCTTTTGTCTCATGTGGGTTCTTTAGGATGCCAAACAGCCCGTGCTTTGGGATTCCTGCAATATGTTTGGAAGCACTCCCGTGCTGGTGGCTGTCATTTGGCCTCAAAGTAGGCCTTAACCCCGAACTGTGTTTGGGGAATGCATAATGCACCACTCTGAAAATGGGGCGTGGATGTTGATGCACAAAGTTGGGTCTTCTCATGTGTCCCGTTGAAAGTATAACAGTTCTGTGCCACAGAATCTCAAACACGTGTTGACACGGCCACATCCATCGAAACTGGACTGGCGTTGACTCCTGCAAAAAGTGCGATTTGCCACTGTCCGGAGCAGCCACGTCAAGCTCATCAATACATTTACTTTCACACGTAGACGCGTGCAGCAAGACAAAAATGTGCCTGGACCAAGAGCAACCAAAGTCTTCCCATCCGTCCCCGCGCGGCTCGAAAGCTTGCAATTCCTTTGTGGGAGCGGAATAAACTCCGATGGCTTGGAATCGTCCTTCATAATCACCCAACCGCGGGTCCGAACCTTTTTGGGATTCCCCCTAAGGAAAGTGGGGGTCTCACTTCATTTTGCGCCGCCCCAGTTCGGGTCAGTGTCAAGTCCCCGACTCTCAAGAAGCAGCGCGGCAGCGTCCAAACAGAAACGAGCTGCCTTTCAAGTCAAACCCCCCCAGCACTCGGCTTCCGTTTTGCTGGTTCAACCCCATTCCCACATCTGCAGCGCGCATCGCACCACGACACGCCCTACGGAAAGCTCAGGTTCTACGCTCGGGACGCCCTTTGGAAGCTTCACACCGGACTCAGGTTCTCACTCAAGATATCCTTTTCCCAATCAAGAAAATTGACAAGAGGCCTTGTCAAGAGGATGGTATTCTTCCAAAACCGGTGAGCTTCCATTCTTGGAAAGAGGGCAAGTACCCTGCCACCAAGGGACTCAAAAGAAAAACAACAGCTTGTAAAGAGGCTTATGAAAGCAACAGCTGAAATTGTATGCAAAACTTAGATCACTCTTGATGGTTTTTGAAGGGGCAAGTGAGAATCTGCCAAAACCTCGGGATGCTCAATATATGTCATGTTAATCCCAGATCAACCAACCTGGCAGGCTCTTTCGGGGTGTTCCCAAGAGCGGAGGACCCCCTCCAAAAATGAGACTGCCTCGAACAAACCTGGCGGACCCGCCCTGCTTTAGTATATAGGGTGGTCAAAAGGGTGCGGTCGCAGTAAGCAAACTACGACCGCACCCTTTGGATCGCTATGACTTGTTCGCATTCGCAGTCGGTCAACTTAAGTTGTTTCCGCTAGTGCAGCTTGCTTGCGAAGGGCGTCCCGGATAGGTTCGAGCCGGCAAGTTTGAGCTCGACACGTAGCAGTCGCATTCTGATTCGGAATCTCGCGCCAAAAGATGGGTCAAAGCATTGAACGGACGAACCCGCAAACTCACAAGACATGGTTTGCCGTTGATTTTGTCACTCCAGAAAACAGCCTCCAAAGAGCGCGCTCCAACTTGCCTGGCTTTCGGTGACCCCGTCAGGGGGAGGGATTTGCAGCCGCTTGGCGGTTCTGTTACCTGATGTTCAAGCAAAAAAGTTAAAGAAAGTGGAGACCGAGTATTGCCAGTTGCTCATACTACTATTTTGAACGGTTTGAACATCCTCAAAACAAATCGTTTGAGAAGGATATGAATCCCCATCAAACGCTCATGGGTCCTCAACTGGAATTCAGACCCATTTGGATGGGTGGACTCTGGGACGGGGTCTGGTGCCCCATGTGGGCATTTCAAGATCATGTATAACAGAAAGGGATGCTCTCAAAAGTGAAGACGAGCCCATGTTCTTTCACTCTTTCACTGGTAGGAAGCAGGGTCAAACGTCACACTTATATAGACCAAACCCAAGCGTTTTTCCCAGTGGCGAAGCCTGGAAGCTTTGCAAGTGAGCGCTTTTCAAAATAAACATAGGACTTGAAAAAGCCCTTTTTCATGTGCATTGTTCGATGTAAAAGAAAACCAAAGGGGCCCTATTTTGAAAAACCGTCCGAGCCGGTGGTTGGCATGCACAGGGCAGCTGGAAAAACGGGATACAACTGGAGCCACAAAATGGACTACGTTCAAATCTGGCCTCTTTACCATTCACTTCTGAGCACAACGACCCGCCTCATACTGAACGCTACAAACACATCAGAACATGAATTAGGACACCTTGTTCGTATGTAAGGTTCCACGAATGTTCCACCAGCACGGTTCCACGAGGTTCTGCGTGGGCTGCGTGGTGGTGCCAGCACTAGAAAGAGCACCGCATGCTGTTGGGGATATCACCTGAGCTTATTAACAAATCGTCCCAGTTGTGGCTCCTGAGCATTCCCCTTCAACCAAAGACCCCCTGCTAAACAAGGCCCTGGAACTCCTTTTTTGCCGCCATTCACCAAAGCGGAATTCCCCCAAAAACCTCGTTTTAGGGTCTCCTTAGGGTCTCCTGGGGGTAGCGCCATGTCATTGGGAACTGGCAATGGCTGGCTAGAGTACAGATTCCGCGCACAAGCTTCGCTGCAAACCCGGCCCTGTTCTTTGTGCTGTGCAAATTTCCTCAAACCGAACAGCAAGAGATGTGGGCAAAGTGCGAGTCACATGGCGCAACATGGCCTGTGTAGGCCCCAGGTCGGGTGTTTTCAAAGAGACTGTCGCAACATTGGCCAAAAGATGTTAAGAAGCAAAATCCGCGAGTACGAAAGGTAGAAATAACATGTAACAGCCAAAATCTCAGGAATTAGCTCCAAAGAGAAAGATTAGAAATTGATTGACCGATAGGCTAGAAGACTAGAAACTCACTTACAACTCCCATTCCTTGCATCTGTTTCATTACTGCCGGCTCGAAAAAACAAGAACAACGCTGCAGAACACGCAAACTGCCTTCCACGTGACTGTCCATGGTATTTCGCTTGATTGTCAAGTACGCCAATCTAATGATGAACAGTCTGCTCCGTGTTCGCCTCCTTCAACAACTCAAACTGGTTGTAAGTTGTGAAACATGTCTTCAAAACCTGCAATCAGGCAAGTCTCATTTGACGGTATTGATTTGATGGTCAGAGCAGCATCCTTCAAGCCGTCAAACTGCTCGTGAAGGGCATTGACTACCTGTGCACTCACATGAATAGTATCTGTTCTTATCAGTGCAACAACTGATGATTCAAATGGCGACCTGCCATTTGGAAAACAACTTTTGAAACCCCCTATATAATCCATAGATTATGAGCCCAAGCTCGCCATGATCGCTTGCAGGCGCCGGCGCGAGGTTGTCAGGGAGGGCGAGGCCGCAGGTCCAGGAGGAAGCGAAGCCTTTGCATGGTGGAGCGGCGTCCCCTCAAGGGATGATGGAGCTAAGCGTAGTACCGCGGGGGGGTCCCGATCAGGTTTCCAGCACCGCATGGGGCAATTGAGGTGTGTGGCCCGGGCGATGGCCATGGGCGTTGGGCAGGAGGCCGTAGCCGAGATGGTGGGAGATCCTCAAGACCAGGGTCAACCCCCAGGAGTATCTGGTGGGCATCCTTCGGCCAATCAAGGATCAGGCGAAGATCCTAGAAGTCAAGAGCAACCCCAGAAAGTATCTGGTGGGCATCAAAGGATCAGTCGGAGATCTTCAAGGTCAAGGCAGGTTTCGGGATTATCTGGAGGGCATCCTTCGGCCAATCAAAGATCCTATGCACCCTGGGAACTTTGAAGGCGGTATGGAGTTGAGGCCAAGGCAACCTTGGAGCTGTACAGCAACTGGGAGGCTCCGGCAGCTGGCCCCCTTTCAATGTATGCTGGAGGCGCCGGACCTTCTCCAGACCAACACGGTGTGAAATCGTTTTGGAGCCCAGAAGTTCAGCGAAGGGTGGCGATGAGCCAACCAGCATCTTCTCGAAAACGCCAACTCAACTCACATGGGGGTCAGCGAGAACCTGCTCGTGTATCAGACGGGGAGCTGGAACGAGTGATTCGGGATGCGGAGGAGACCTTCGAGAGAGAGGTCTTGAAGCTTCAGGCGGCCAGAACCAGAGATGATGCGTCGTATCGCACGGAGGGGCTTTTGCGGGTCCAACTCTACCACCTCCGGATGAGGAGGTTGGTGGCGGAACGAGGATGACCATTGCCCCGTCCCCACCACCGCCCCCACCACCGCCCCCCACCACCTCCTCCGAGGCGTGGCGGAAATCCACATGTTGGAGGCCTTGAGCAACTTTGGACTCCCGGCTTCGCCCGAGGAGCCATCGTGTAGGGCAGAGAGACCTGTGAATGCTCCTGACACCGGACCTCAAGAAGGAAGTGGTCGAGCAAGGGGCATCCACCTCCAAGGGTGGGGAGTCCAAGATACAACAGAATGACTGAGGAGAAAGGGGGGCCTTCATCGAGCTTGCTCAAGCCTGGTCGTGGATATGCCCAAGGAGGTCCGGCCAGGCGCGGGGCTGATGCGGGGCCGGTCACAACGTTTCCAGTCGACGAAGAGGCAACGGCCTCCGAGTCATCAGACTGGGAGCAGGCTAAGTGCGGCAAAGGCCGCGGGGGGAGTGTGTGGATGTGCACTCACATAAATAGTATCTGCTCTTATCAGTGAAACAACTGATGATCCAATGGCGACATTCCATCTGGCTCGAGACGCTGAAAAGAAGCGCACCTTTTGAACCCCCGTAATCCACAGATCCAAATGGAATCAATCAATCGTCCACCAGCCAGAAACAGGGGTGGCTCTTTGGAGAGTACCCTTCTTGGGCGGCTTTGAAGGCAAACCAAAGACAAGATAAACCTTGCTTTACGACCCAAAATACAAGTCCGTAGCTGAGACTGGGAGTTGAATGTGTGAATGTGCCTGGTTGGCTTTCCCTTATATTACAAGCGGTTTACCATCCAGTTGCTTTATGTGGCTGTCAAAAAGATGGTCATTTGTGCTCTTGAAATGAAGCCCTGCCCTTCTCCGACTTCCGCCTAGGCTAATGGCATAATGATTAAAGACTCAAAGCATTCAAAGAGGCATCAGTGACGCCCAGCACATATCAAAGGCGCCGAGGATTCAGCCAATCATACAGGCCTCAGTGCGGGCAAATCAAAAACGGCCTGACACAACCGAGTAATTGTTGGCTGTTGCCGCCGCTGTCTGCTGCCTATTGCTGCTT